ATGAGCGAGGCCATTGTTTAGTAGTGAGAGGTGAATAAAAAGAGACTTTGAGTAAGAAAGGGTGAGTCCTGGGACAGCTGGGAGCCAGCTGGCACAGCCAGTGTTTCCTAATGATGAGAAATGTCTCCCACACCCTGGAAGACAGCACAGCCTCTAGGGCCTATATATGTACCCAGGGAGCACTTGTCAGTCACAGAGTGTGACCAGAGGAAAACCCCTTCCAATCGCTTGGTGTAATCCCCTTCACTTTACAGGAGAGAAAACTGAGATCTCTTAGTTACAGGGATATCTCTGAATCGATTTAATTTTCACTCCTCAAGGCTGTAGACATTTATACTCCTGCTAGACCTCATCAAAAATGGAAAGGCTAGATGAATATACTTGCTTAGCATAAGATGTGAGCATCAGAAAAGAATCAGGAAAACTAGATATAAAATAAACATCAATGTGGGTTTAATAACAGGTGATAAGAGTTCCCAAGCTGCTTCTGCTCTATAATCAATCATAGAAACTTAAAGGATACTGCAGAATAAACATACACTTCCTAAAAGTGAACAAACTCACTCACAACTCCCCGACTGCAGATTGGTGCCGGTCCGGTCCAGTCCGTGGCCTGTTAGGAACTAGGCAGCACAGCAGGAGGTGGGCAGCGGCTGGGCAAGTGAGCATTACTGCCTCCTGTCAGATCAGCAGTGGCATTAGATTCTCACAGGCGCTCGAACCCTGTTGTAAACTGCACATGCGCGGGATCTAGTTTGCGCTTTTTTCTTTTTTGAGACGGGGTTTCGCTCTTGTTGCCCAGGCTCGCGTGCAATGGCACAGTCTCGGCTCACAGCAACCTCCGCCTCCCAGATTCAAGCAATTCTCCTGCCTTAGTTAGCCTCCCGGTAGCTGGGATTACAGGCATGCGCCACCTCCTGGCTAATTTTGTATTTTTTAGTAGAGACGGGGTTTCTCCACGTTGGTCAGCCTGGTCTCAAACTCCCGACCATAAGTGATCCGCCCGCCGCGGCCTCCCAAAGTGCTGGGATTACGGGCGAGAACCACCGCGCCCGGCCTGTCGCTCATTCTTTGTGAGAATCTAATGCCTGATAATCTGAGGTGAAACCGTTTCATCTCAAAACCATCCTCCCCCCACCAACCAACCCCGTGGAAAAATTGTGATCCATGGAACCGGTCCCCGTGACAAAAAGGTTGGCTACAGTTGCTTTAAGGCCACGGTAATGGAAATAAAACCAAGTTGCTATGTATCACATTGGCTAAGTAAAAGTTTACAGGGGAGCTTAAATGGTATAGAGGATGGAACAGGACTGACATTCCTCTAAAAGATTTAAAAAAAAAAAAAAAAGAAGAAGTAGTAGTAAAAAAGACCAACAACAAAAATATAAAAACAGAACAGGTATCCACTTCAGGGCAGATTCATACCCAGGCAACAACAGAACCGAGACAGACAGAGCCTATAACCTAAGAGTTTTGTGGGTGTAAGCACAAGCCAAATCCTATCAGGTAACTATGCCATCCTTGAGAAACTTGTGCCATCAGCAGCATCCTGAAGCCTGAAGATGCCACCCAGGTATCAGTTTTAGAGGCAGCTTATTCCCCTAACAATGCCAGCCCCTTCTGCACAAAGTCAGAAATGTGACAATACAGCACGCTCAGGGAAAATTAATTTTGAAATTGAGTTTTCAATCATTTTGTTAGGAATTGTTTTTAAACAACCATCAAGGCAGAAAACGCTTCCATTTTTTTTTTTTAATCAGGGGAATACAGTGGGCGAATTAAAGGTGGGCTTCAATGAAAAGAAAATGAAAGAAGAATGAAAAATTAGAATTATTAGCTTAACCTCTAATACTGAGCACCCTGGGCTGCACATTAGAATCACCTGGAGAGCTTTTAAAAATTTTAGTGCCCTGGCCCCAGCCCAAACCAATTATATTAAAATCCCTGGGGTGGGACCCAGGCATGAATACTCTTAAAGCTCTCCAGGTAATTCCAATGTGCAGCCCAGACAGGAATCCACTGCTCTACAGGGAGTTAGTCTAAATTTTGACTATCAAATACTTGTCATTAAAGCAGGATAAGGGCAGGTGCACTGGCTCATGCCTATAATCCCAGCATTTGGAGAGGCCTAGTTGGGAGGATCACATGAATTGAGGTGTTTGAGACCAGCCTGGGCAAATAGTGAGACTCTATCTCTACAAAAAATAAAAAAAAAATTAGCTGGGCATAGTGATGTGCACCTGTAGTCCCAGCTACTCAGGAGGCTAAGATAGGAGGATCTCTGTGAGTTTTGACTGTCCCATTACACTTTAGCTTGAATGACACAGCAAGAATAAGTCTCTAAAAATAATAAATAAAAATAAAAGATAAAACTAAATTAAAAATTTTAAAATAATGAGGCCGGAGGTGGTGGCTCATGCCTGTAATCCCAGCACTTTGGGATGCCAAGGCAGGTGGATCACCTGAGGTCAGGAGTTCGAGATCAGCCTTGCCAACATAGCAAAACCCCCATCTCTACTAAAAATATAAAATTAGCCAGGCTTGGTGGCACATGCCTATTGTTCCAGCTACCCAGGAGGCTAAGGCACAAGAATTGCTTGAACCTGGGAGGTGAAGGTAGGAGTGAGCTGTGATAGCGCCATTGCACCCCAGCCTGCGTGACAAGAGCAAAACTCTCAAATAAAATAAAATTAAAAATTAAAAAATAATAAAGCAGGATTAACCAGACATCCTAGGAGTACAATTACCCTAAAATATCACCCAATTGAATACAAAACTGTCATTTTAACAATTCGTCTCTTTAAGTCAAATATACCCAGATTTGACTCTCTTCAGATATTTCCAAAGCAGAGGCAATTATCTTTTAAATTCAGATATTTTTCTTCAATACACTTATGATGAGCATGAGATACAAACTAGCTGAGAACGAGTCTAAACCCCATTCTTCTACCCTCCTTGGTTGGCCTTTCCAAAAAGAAAAAAATAATAAAGACAGAGTAACTTCTCTTAAATGTTTCAAAACAAAATAATTAAGATGAAGCTGGGTAAACAACCATGAAACTCAATGAGGTATTTCCTTTATTTTTTAATAGTTATAGACTCAGGGTCTGTCATGGAAATAGCTGCATAATTTTGACTGCCAAATCATTCAGTGAAATTACATCACAGAAGAGCTGCCTGTGCCCTGTGGGGGCTCTGAATAGCATGTACCCCTTTGGCCATTTGGAACCTGCCTGCTGAGCTGTGAAGTGGTAGGGTTTTTTTCCATCGTATGGACTCTTTCTAATTATATAGCATCATGACAATTTGCCCAGCTAATTAGGGGAGGTTATCCAACCCTGATTGAGGACACTCAATAAACAATAATGAAAAAGATAGCTTTAATTGTCCTAAGGCTCGAAATTTCTTCCACTAAAAATATCAGGGGCAGTGGCTAGATGACTGGATTTCTAAGAAAAGGGTAATTCTCTTTTTGAGGGAAGGGAGTAAATCTTGAAAGTCGCCATGAAAATAAACATGAAAAACCTCCCTGCCAACAAATGTTATTTGGTCTCTTTCCCTCCAGAAGACATTCAGGTAGTAAAGGGAATGAATCAGCACTCCTTAGTTAACACTCCTTAGTTGCCTGATAGAAATGCTAAGTCATTCCAATCAGGTAGATAGTTGTGTTTAAGACTACTACACTAGTTGGCTTCCAAGTGTTGGTAGTGTATTTGTTCTCAGTATAAAATGGTATGGGAATACTTTCCAACAATAAAAAAGAAAGGAATTACTCTTCTATAATGCCTCATGGATGAATCTCAAAAGCATTATGTGCAGTGAAAAAGCCCCATAATGTATGATTCCATCAGTATGAAATGACCATTAAGGCAAATCTATAGAGACAGGAAATAGATTAGTGTTTGTCTAGGATTAGTGGTGGAAGAAGGTATTGACTGACAATGGCAAGGAGGGATCATTTTGGGGAGGATGAAAGTGTTCTGAAATTGGCTTGTGATGGTTGTACAGCTCTGCAAATTTACTAAACATCATTGTACACTCAAAATGGATGATTTTATGGCATGTAAATTATAACTACATAAGACTATTTGAAAAAGTTGATATCATACCAGGAAGATTAGCGTCTGGGTCTGGGTCTGGTTCTTCCGCTGCCATGCAGGTGGCTTGTCACTGACACTCCTCAAGAATTCTGCTCGTTCACCATTTCCATTTATAAAACGTTAGCGGGATGGTGGGGGGAGAAGGAGAACACATCAAATCTGAGATTCTGTGCAGTCACAAGACACCAAGTCTGGGAATTTGGAAAGACAATCAGGCATAAACATTCTTCCTGGGGTGAAAAAGAAGCAAAGGTACCGCCTGTCCGGGATCTGGACCATCTCCCACGCGTGGCCCTAGTCAGGAGCTCAAATGGAGCCACTGGGGAAAGTTGGACCCCAGAAGAAACAAAGGCGCAAGGCCGAATCCCTAAGGTCCAAAAGATTAGCAGTCAGTTGACAGGGTTTCTAACGAAAACGGGGCATGCATTGACCAAACCCAGGGTGGTTTTACTTCAGAAGTAGGAATTCTGTTTCCACCAGAGTACCAAGTTGGGAAGTTCGGTTCTCACGCCGCGTGGACCTGGCAGCATCGGGGCGGGTGGCGGCCGCCGCTGCCCAGCAGCCCTGATCCGCGAAGAACAGAACTGACAAGGCCGCTGCTCCCGCCGTCGGGCCCTCCCGCACTCATTGAGACGACGGCGCGGGGACCTCCGTGATCCCTCCAGGGACACGCGCCGCGTCCAGGTGGCCGAGCCCGCGCTGCTGGAGGAGGCGCCTCCGCGCCGGCCTCGCCCCAGGACCGGGAGGGGGCGAGGGTGGAGCTGGACGGTCGCCGCCCAGCCCGGGGGGACCGGCTCCCGCGCCCTCTCGCGCCCCCAGTACCCCCAACACAGTGCTCATGCGCGCGGCCCAGCCTTTATAACTGCCGCGAGGGCCGCGCCTTCCGCACTTCGGCGCAACCAGGCGGATCTCGCGCAGGTGCGGAGTCCCGGGCTGCGGGCTCAGGAACAAGGGATCCCTGACGCCTCTGTCCCTGTTTCTCGTTCGCTCCCAGCCTGTCAGTCTTGGTATTGGCGCCCCCTCCCCGCTGCGGGGTTGCACACTGTTCCTGGGCTTGGCTCGATTTGCCACCGAGGCGCCTCCTGCAGACCTAGAGGGGCGCTGGCCGAGAGCAGCGGCTCGTCTGTGTCCTCTGTCCCCTGCGCCGCGTCCGGGGGTCCGAGGGGTGCGGGGCTCTGAGGAGGTGGCGCGCGGGGTCCCCCGCACCCCGGCTTTGCCCGCATTCTCCCTCTCTCCCAGGTCGGAGCAGCATCTCAGTCACCATGTCTGCAGCCTGGATCCCGACTGTCTGCCTCGGTGGGTGAGCCCCCCCTCACGACCCCAGCTCCTTGCTCCGCGGGCTGGAGGCTGGAGTCAGCCCTCGCACTTATCTCTTCACAGGTGTGTGTCTGCTGCTGCTGCCGGGGCCCATGGGCAGCGAGGGAGCCGGTGAGTCGGGGAGCTGGGGTGAGTCCAGGCGGTCGCAGGGGCTGAGCACTAGCGGGTACTAGCGGGACTCAGATCCAGCCCCCTGGGCGTCGGCCCGAGAGCCCGAGAAAGAACGCGCGAAGGTTGGAGCCGCTGTGTGACGCGCCCGCCTTAACTCCCGCAGCCGATCTGCTGCTCACCTGTTTCTCCCACGGGAAGGGGCCCCTAGGGTCCAGTGGGGGGACGTTCTCCCAGAGCACTAGGAAGAACGCCTCCTCCAGGCCAACCCACAGCCCCAGACCCCAGACACACCAAGCGCGGGCAGGAGGACTTGAGCCCCGCGGAGGAGCGCACGCGTTCCGGGCTCCGCTGCGTTGGGGGCGGAGGAGAAGCCTCCAGACCCGACTTCAGGATGCAGTGGCCGAGAGAGAGGGAGGCGAACGTCGCTGTCCCACCTTGTTTGACTCGCTAGCAATGTTTCTAGGTATAACCTCTGTAATCGGAAGCACTTGCGGTCTCATTCCACACGCGAGAGTCTTAAAAGTTTGTACCAAGTGTAGAGAGGCCCGGGTATGGGTGTGTGGTTTGGTGTATTTTCTACGATGTAAAAAGGCAGCGCTTTCCTAAGATCTACCGTTTGTTTTCCTTGAAAGTAGAAATGAGGGTAAGTATCGCACACGGCTGTATTTCTCCCGCTGCACTTAAAAGTCAGTGTTCGCCGCTAAACGCGGTGGGTCTTGGCACCGCATTCTGCTGCCACTCCCACCTCAGCGGAAATGGGAGAAAGGATTAAGGCTGTTTGATGATAGGTAAGAGGCTGTCTGGGGGTCAGGATTCTAACTTCTCAGCTCTCTAGACTGTTTCAGAGCTAAGAAATGGGCATTGCGCCTGCATCCTTCCTTCTCTTCCATGGAATGTAAAGTCCAGGGTACCGGTCACCACAAAGCGCACAGAGGAGGGTGTTTGTCAGAGGCAAGGTACTCAGTTGGGCAGATGACCAGAAAGTATTCCTCTGCCTTGGAAAAAAGGTCTTGAAATTAATGTATGTTTCAGAAAGTTTTGGATAAACACAACTTCCCATGTTTGAAAAATAGTATTTAATAACATTAATCTCAATTTAGTATTGACAGTAAATTAACATGTTAGGTTATCTTGTTACTTGCTGCCAAGAACTTGTCTCTTCCTAGCATCATTTATAGTAAACTTTGATTCTTTAACTTGAAACTATTAACAGTGCTGTCTAAAAATGCATCCACTGCCTTTTTGGACAGATCTGGAGAGGGAATAATCAGGTTCAAGTTAGATAAAAATGCTCTATTCTGAAGGGATTGATTTTTCTGTTTTCTGTCCTTCAGGAGTTGTAGAATGTTGTTCGGGCAAATTAATCCCACGACTTTAATTTTCTCATCTATAAAGTGAATAATCGAGTAAAATAACTTTCTGTGAATCTAAGCATCTTTTTGCTGGTTTCCTTAACATGTGATTTTAAGGATCTGCATTTGTAGGCTAACTAGGATAAATGGTCCTATGTAGGAAAGAATGGCTTTGATTTGTGCACGTCTATGAAAATATTCCACAAAGGCTCAATCCAGATTTACTGTCTTCACCTCAAGCAACTATGTACACCGTGTCACCAAAGTTGAGATTTAAAATTTTTTTCTTTGGGAGACAAGATCTCATTCTGTCACCCAGGATGGAGTACAGTGATACAATCATAGCTCACTGCAAACTTGAACTCCTGTGCTCAAGCAATCCTCCCACCTCAGCCTCTCTAGTAGCTGGGAGTACGGGCATGAACCACCATGTGTGACCATTTAAAAAAAATTTTTTTTTATAGGAGATGAGGTCTCGCTATGTTGTCTAGACTGGTCCTGGGCTCCTGGACTCAAGAAGATCCTCTCATCTTGGCCTGCTAACATGCTGGGATTATAGGCAGGCATGAGCTACCATGCCCAGCCAAGATTTTTTCTATTTTTAGAATTAATAAATATTAAGTGACTTTTATTTTCTAGTGCAGATATATTTCCAATTATGTATTTCCAACCTGATTAAGAACCGAGAAGCCAGACACAGTGGCATACATGTAATCCCAGCTACTAGGGAGTTGGAGATGGATCACTTGAGCTCTGGAATCTGCGCTTAGCTTGGGCAACTTGGCAAGTCCCCATTTCAAAAACAAAAGCAAAACAAAAAACAGAACTTTCACATTAGACTTTTATAGTAGCTGGGTACTATGTTAAATTGGAAAACAACCTTGTGGCTTGCCAAAATCTGGAATAGTTTGGAATGGTATGTAAGTCAATATTCTTAACTAGAAGTGTAGAAATTATGGAAGTAAAACTTAAATCTCACATGGTCGTCTCCCCACCACTATGCCCCAAGAAGTCCTAAGAATGCTTACAATATTATCTCCTCTCTCTTTAGCTCCCATTGCTATCACATGTTTTACCAGAGGCTTGGACATCAGGAAAGAGAAAGCCGATGTCCTTTGCCCAGGGGGCTGCCCTCTTGAGGAATTCTCCGTGTATGGGAACATAGTATATGCTTCTGTATCGAGTATATGTGGGGCTGCTGTCCACAGGTAAGCCCAAACACACCAGGGTGGGAGAGAAATGCATACATGATTATTTCCTTTCCTGCTTTAGCCATTAGAATCCCTTTCCTCCCTGCATTCTTTCTTTTGGTGCCATTGTGACCACAGAAAATGGATATATTTTCAAGGTTCTCCTGAATATACTTGAAACACCAAATACATATGGGAAGTTTTCTGACAAAAAGCAAATTGCATTACTTCTTGATGGCTAGATTCCTGTGATTCTAAAACATTTTTAATCATGTGATATATTACTGAGTTATTACTATATGCCAGCTATTGTTTTAACTTCCACCACAACTCTACAAGGTAGGTAGAATTTTACTCAAGTTACAGATGAAGAAAGTGAACTCAGAGAGTTGTCAAGTATCTTACAACTCAAGTTAGATTTGAGTTGTCAAGTTTTCAAGTGCCTATGGTTAGCAAGTGCCATGCTATCCTGCAGAATAGCCAGTATGATACTTTAAAAATAAAAATGCAATCCAAGAGCATGTAGTTAAAGTGAGTATCTCAGGAAAATTGTTTGGTGCTCTGAATTTCTAAGTTGTAGGTAATGGAATATTACAAATGTATTCTTATCAACACTTAAGAAGTTTAACCACACAACCATTTTTTCCAGGCAAATTTTGTTATGTGTAAACAAGTTGGTTTTTTTTTTTTTTTTTTTTTTTTTTTGAGACAGAGTTTCGCTCTCATTACCCAGGCTGGAGTGCAATGGCGCGATCTCGGCTCACCGCAACCTCCGCCTCCTGGGTTCAGGCAATTCTCCTGCCTCAGCCTCCTGAGTAGCTGGGATTACAGGCACGTGCCACCATGCCCAGCTAATTTTTTGTATTTTTAGTAGAGACGGGGTTTCACTATGTTGACCAGGATGGTCTCGATCTCTTGACCTCGTGATCCACCTGCCTCGGCCTCCCAAAGTGCTGGGATTACAGGCTTGAGCCACCGCGCCCGGCCTTAAACAAGTTTTTAAAAGGCTAGCAGCAGCCGGGTATGGTGGCTAATCCCATCAGTTTGGGAGGCTGAGGCGGGCAGATCACTTGAGGTCAGGTGTTCGAGACCAGCCTGGCCAACACGGTGAAATCCTGTCTCTACTAAAAATACAAAAATTAGACAAATATGGTGTGTGTGCCTGTAATCCCAGCTACTCAGGAGGCTGAGGCAGGAGAATTGCTTGAACCCAAGAGGCAGAGGTTGCAGTGAGCTGAGATCGTGCCACTGCTCTCCTGCCTGGGCTACAGAGCTAGACTCTATCTCAATCCATCCATTCATCAATCAATCAATAGCAGCATCTTTATATTATTTCCCTGATGAGCTATTTTCTTGATTAATCAAGGCAATAGATACAACATGGCGCTATAAGTCAGTGGGATGCCCTGAAAAAGTGTGAATAGTGTCTCACCTGCTTTTCTTGTGTTGCAGGGGAGTAATCAGCAACTCAGGGGGACCTGTGCGAGTCTATAGCCTACCTGGTCGAGAAAACTATTCCTCAGTAGATGCCAATGGCATCCAGTCTCAAATGCTTTCTAGATGGTCTGCTTCTTTCACAGTGACTAGTAGGTATAATTGTTCTCTCTCTGCAATATTCTCCCACCCCCACAAAAGTTTTCTGCTTTTCTTCGCTCAGCCTTTTTAAACCTGATGGAATAACCTGTGATCAAGAGTGAAGTTGACAATAGAGGTAAACTGTAGGTTAGACTGAGGGATCAAGTACCCACTGAAACCAAATTTAGGTGACTAGAAGACAATCTTACTGGCGGATGATGGCAATAGAAACTTGAATTATCTGCAGAATGCCAAAGAACTGAAAAACTACTGAATGATCCTTTAAAGATACAATGGATAAGCATTTTGGTTCTCTGAAACTAGCATGCAGCAGGATGTTTGTAACTACCATTACCATTACCCTGTTACATTTGTCATCATAGAGAGCCCTGAATTAGATTCTTAATACTTTGTTAAAGAAGGAAACGGAAAAAAATAAGCTTATTTTTATTTTAACAGAAGGCAAAAGTAGTACACAGGAGGCCACAGGACAAGCAGTGTCCACAGCACATCCACCAACAGGTATGTACTATGAAACCTATCTCCTAGTTGCCCAGCACAGCATTTGGAAGTTAGGAATAAATGTGTTATTGATAGAAGATTTTCATAAAGAAATTTGATATTAAAGAGAAACAAAGCAAATATCTTAAGTTTACTGGTATATTACATATGGAAACATTCCATTTTATGTATATATTTTAAAGCTAGGATCTCACTCTGTTGCTCAAGCTGGAGTGCAGCGGTACAGTCATAGCTCATTGCAGCCTTAAACTCCTAGGCTCAAGAAATCTTCTCACCTTGGTCTCCCGAGTAGGTGGTACTACAGGCACATGCCACCACACCCAGCTAATTTTTTCACTTTTTTCTAGAGACAGAAGTCTAGCTCTGATGCCCAGGCTGGTTTTGAACTCCTGACCTCATACAGTCCTCCTATTTCAGCCTCCCAAAGTTCTGAGATTACAGGCATGAGCCACTGCACCTAGCCCAATAATTCTCTTAAAGTCCTCCTGTCTTCTCCCAGATTTGATAAACCACACCTAAGAAATGGTCAAAGTACCATGAACTTCTAGTTCCATTTGCTTCATTAAATTCTATTACTGTACTGTCATGTGAATAAAAGGAATGTGTGTCTATCATGAGAAATAGCCAGAGATCCCCTTATACATGACTATGGCAATTTTAAAGTCAAAGATATTAAGAACATTAGGATCTAATGTTGATCCTAACGTTTCTGCCTCACCTGTGGGTTTGGCGTATCAAAGTCCTGGATTAGAGGCATGTCAAATATGTAAGCCTACATACTGATTTGTTTATTTGTTGAGTCATTGCTTTCCCTAGTCCAGAAAATCCTGAGGAAACTAATTTTTTTTTTTTTTTTTTTTTTTTTTTGAGACGGAGTTTCGCTCTTGTTACCCAGGCTGGAGTGCAATGGGGCGATCTCGGCTCACCGCAACCTCCGCCTCCTGGGCTCAGGCAATTCTCCTGTCTCAGCCTCCTAAGTAGCTGGGATTACAGGCACGCGCCACCACGCCCAGCTAGTTTTTTTTTTTTTTTTTGTATTTTTAGTAGAGACGGGGTTTCACTATGTTGACCAGGATGGTCTCGATCTCCCGACCTCGTGATCCACCCGCCTCGGCCTCCCAAAGTGCTGGGATTACAGGCTTGAGCCACCGCGCCCGGCCGGAAACTAATTTTTTTTAAAGTCCTTTCAAGAATGGCAGTCTGTTGTTATAAGCTTCTCCTCATGTGAATTTCTTGCTATATAACCATATTCCTTTTGTTAATGCCAAGTGCATCCTTTATTTCAGGTAAACGACTAAAGAAAACACCCGAGAAGAAAACTGGCAATAAAGGTAAAAATGAAGATCACCATCTGTGAAGGTAGCTTTTTCCCTCCCTCTTCTTGAGACAGCTAATAAGGGGATTGGTTTTGGTGTTCGCAGATTGTAAAGCAGACATTGCATTTCTGATTGATGGAAGCTTTAATATTGGGCAGCGCCGATTTAATTTACAGAAGAATTTTGTTGGAAAGGTGGCTCTAATGTTGGGAATTGGAACAGAAGGACCACATGTGGGCCTTGTTCAAGCCAGGTACCAACCTTGTTAAAATGGGAGATTTTTTAAAAATTATGTATTTATTTTGTAATAGACATATAATAATTATGTATACTTATGGGATAGTGATGTTTTCAGGTATACAATGTATAGTGGTCAAATCAGAGCAATTAGCATATCCATCACCTCAAATACTGATCATTTCTTTGTGTTGGATACATTAAAAATCAAATGAGGCCTGGCACAGTGGCTCACACCTATAATCCCAGCACTCTGGAGGTCAAGGTGTGTGGGTGTGTAATCCCAGCTACTTGGGAGGCTAAGGCAGGAGAATTACTCGAACCCAGGAGGCAGAGGTTGCAGTGAGCCAAGATTGTACCACTGCACTCCAGCCTGGGTGGCAGTAAGACTCTGTCTCATTAAAAAAAAAAAAAAAAAAAAAAAAAAAAAAAAAAAAGTCAAATGAGAGGATATTTGAATGATGTCTTGAATCATGACCAATGATCGATCCTTTTAGTGGGTAAATGTCAGTTCAGCATAAACATTTTGAGTTATGGACACAATGGATTCCCAAACTGTAAGCTCAGAATCTAAGACTGCCTGGGCAGACTGAGTAGATCTGAGTGCCTCCTTTTTGGAACAAAGAATTTAGAAAACTGTGTGCTATCTATGTAAGAACCAGAAGGTAGACTGGAGAGTCTTATTGCTTACACAAGTCACCTTTGCTTATCTACTCTGCTCAATTCCTAATTTCTCTTTTCTGAAGAAAGAAGCAGTGATAGATGTCTGTTCCACCTCCCTATTCTGTTGTTATTCTTTTTAGCTCTTTTTATATTCTCTTGGTTGGTGATCTGAAGCATAACCTTTCTAAAGCACAAAAAATAAAATTCCCTCAAACATATGCCCTAGCCCAGGCTGGAATGCAGTGGCATGATCTCCACTCACTATAACCTCTGCCTCCCAGATTCAAGCGATTTTCCTGCCTCAGCCTCCTGACTAGCTGGGATTACAGGCACACACTACCACAACTGGCTAATTTTTGTATTTTTAGTAGACATGAGGTTTCACCATGTTGGCCAGGCTGGTCTCAAACTTCTGACCTCAGGTGATCCACGCACCTCAGCCTCCCAAAGTGCTAGGATTATAGGTGTGAACCACCATACCTGGCCTGTTCAGTATTTTAAGGAAATATTTGACTGTGTATATTATTTTTTAAAAGCTCAGACTAGAAAAAATTCCTTGCATACTGTTTCTTCATCCTTTAGTATTTTGAACATTTTCTCATATCACAAATATTCATCAAAAATATTTCATAATATTCCTCTGCATGATTATTTAGTCATTCTTTTATTGTTTTTTCACTACATTACACACTACATTGTGATAAACATCCTTATATCATCTTTGTGCCCATCTCTGATTATTTCATCAGGTTAGATTTCTAGGAGTGAGATTCTGACTTAAGGCCTCTGATATAAATAGTGAAATTGAGCCATGCACAGTAGTTCATGCCTGTAGTACCAGCTGCTCGGAAGGCTGAGGTGTGAGGATCTCTCGAGCCCAGGAGTTCAAGGCTGCAGTAAGCTATGATGGCACCACTGCACTCCAGCCTGGGCAACAGAGCAAGGCCCCATTTCTAAAAAAACAAACAGTGAAATTGCTTCCTAGAAAGGTCAACTAGTTTAAACTACTAACAGCAGTGTATAAGGGTATATAAACAGTACTATTACAAATATTAATTTCTATTTCATTTATTATTTTTTACAATTGGCTTGCTCTTTAGATAGATTTTTTTGGTGTGAGAAGAAAATTTAACTGTTTTTACATAATTCAGCCATTTGTCTCTGACCTTTAAAAAACAATGGGTTCCTTATTTCATTGACTTATGGTATCACATTTATACCTGAGTTTGAGCAAATCTATTTCTTTGATTCATATGCTAATCCTTTTTTTCTATACTGCTTTAATTATCATAGTTTTATTGCACATTTTGCCATCCCATGAATCAAATTCCCTTGCAGTACTTTTTGTCCTATACTTTTTTCTGACTTCTTTGACCCAATTCTTTTTGAAGATGAAAGCTTCATTACCTTGTAGATGCATACAAATACTAGCTTCTTGTAACTTCCTGGTTTGTAGTTTTTCTCTTTTAGAAAGACCATTAGAATAAACCATGTCAAGTTTATATATAAGTCAAAGAATAGAATATATCTGCTATAGTATACAAAAATGAGACTCATTTCATTAATCATAATCTGGATAGTTGAAAAGTGACAAGTGAAAAGATTTTCAACCCATAAAATCTGATTTTGTGATCCAGTATTCCATCAGGTATGTATGCAGAATTACAGTCAGTATTATACTTCTCCCTCAAAAAGCTTGACTTAATAAAACAGCTACTGATAATGCTAAGATCTTAAAATTCTGCACTATGAAATATTGACTCATCTAGAAAATAAACACTACAAATTGTGCTTTGGTTGTTTATACTCAAGAAGGTCTCTGATGAACACAGAGTAGTTATATAAAATAAATTCCTTTAATATTAAATATGGGAAATGAGATCTCAAAACTCTTACAATACACATAATTTTAAGATCCACAAATGTCATTGTTACCATAAGAAAAATTCAATATTCTAACTTTATAATTCATTTTACCTTTTACCTTAAAAAATGTTGACCATCTCATCAATGAAATTGTTTGTTTTGAACAGAGAGACCTGAGTTAATAGATGCACACTACTTAGAGGCTGTGGGGTTCCACACTGGAACAGACCCTAGTCTGACACCCAGACACCTCCTAATTTAGTTTAGCTACCTGGTGCCCAACTCTGTGGACTTCTGTTAAACCCGAGGCCCTAAGCCAAGCCTGGTTTTAAGTGTTCCATATAGTTTAGGCATGGACTTTGGAGCCAGACAACATGAACTTAAAATGCAGCTTTGGTTCATCAGGCAAACTCCCTAAATACTCCGAGCCTCAGTTTCTTCATTTACACAACTGGGATAATAATTCCAACCTTGTAGAGCTATAATAAAATAAGGTTACACAAGTGTTATACATTTGGCTATTACCCAGAATATAATAAATCCTCAATATAGCAATTCTTTGTTGCACCTCTGAAATATCCCCAATAATTCAAGTAAAGTTGTAATCCCTTAGTTGACTATGTACTGTGGAATTAAGAAAGTTGTGTGTTTTTTGGTTTTAAAACTATTTTTAAGGCATGTAATGTTGCTTATTTTACCTTCTTAATTCTTCCTGAATAACATTTTCTTTCTTCCACTTAGCGAACATCCCAAAATAGAATTTTACTTGAAAAACTTTACATCAGCCAAAGATGTTTTGTTTGCCATAAAGGAAGTAGGTTTCAGAGGGGGTAATTCCAATACAGGTAAGTAGACTTTGATACCTGGAATGTAATGTAGGAGAGAGTTATCAGTGATCAGACATGTCAAACAATATTATGCTATTTTATATGAGCAGATATGAAATTCCTCCTGGAACTGAAATCTTGGCTAGGTTGGTATTTGATCATCTGAGATAAAATTTCAATTTATAATGGAAAGTATACCAAAGTTGATATTTCTTATTTTAAAAAATATAAAGCATGGTGATTTAGAATTCTCATATGCTGGATTGACTAGATATAACATTGAAGAAATACCTCTTTGTAATGCTAAAAAGAAGCAAAGCAACAGACTTACGTAATGAATGCAGATATGGCAGAAAGAATGATAGTAGCACTACTGTTGCATCTGCAGACAGACTTCTTAGAGGTAATAATCAGTCACCAAAGGCCTACATAGAGAGCACATGTACAGAAGTTGGAATCAGTTTTGTGTTTCTAACTGGTGATTGATGTGAGGTAAGCAAATGTGAGGCTTCTAGGAGGCGGAGGGGGAAGTAATATGGTTTGTGAAGAGAAAAATTAGGCCTGGTAGATAAACTTTCCCAGCTGATGCATCTGTTACTGAACTGGGTTATATATGTTTCTATTTGGGTATGTAACCCCACTCCACTGCCAGTTCTATATAATTCTTAAACTTTGCAGCATCAAATGCTACAGGGAAACAGAAATGTGGTTTGAGCAGTGGTAAATGCTACTCGTTTGCTTCTTTTTCAAACTTAGGAAAAGCCTTGAAACATACTGCTCAGAAATTCTTCACGGTAGATGCTGGAGTAAGAAAAGGGATCCCCAAAGTGGTGGTGGTATTTATTGATGGCTGGCCTTCTGATGACATCGAGGAAGCAGGCATTGTGGCCAGAGAATTTGGTGTCAATGTATTTATAGTTTCTGTGGCCAAGCCTATCCCTGAAGAACTGGGGATGGTTCAGGATGTTTCATTTGTTGACAAGGTAAAGTGGTGAGGGCTATCTTCTGTTACAGTGATAGAGATTCCATTTTGGACCTCTGAGTGCAGTGCTGACTGCCTCTTATCTAGATTAATTTTAACATTCAGGATTTTCCATAGTTTTTAAGAAGAAACAACTTTTGATCCTTTTGGATATCTTTTGTCTCCCCCATTAGGCTGTCTGTCGGAATAATGGCTTCTTCTCTTACCACATGCCCAACTGGTTTGGTACCACAAAATACGTAAAGCCTCTGGTACAGAAGCTGTGCACTCATGAACAGATGATGTGCAGCAAGACCTGTTATAACTCAGTGAACATTGCCTTTCTAATCGATGGCTCTAGCAGTGTTGGAGATAGCAATTTCCGTCTCATGCTTGAATTTGTTTCCAACATAGCCAAGACTTTTGAAATCTCGGACATTGGTGCCAAGATAGCTGCTGTACAGTTTACTTATGATCAGCACATAGAATTCAGTTTCACTGACTATAACACCAAAGAGAATGTCCTAGCTGCTATCAGAAACATCCGCTATATGAGTGGTGGAACAGCTACTGGTGATGCCATTTCCTTTACTGTTAGAAATGTGTTTGGCCCTATAAGGGAGAGCCCCAACAAGAACTTCCTAGTAATTGTCACAGATGGGCAGTCCTATGATGATGTCCAAGGCCCTGCAGCTGCTGCACATGATGCAGGTAAGATCCTTGTTCTTGTAGGAGAAGGGGACTGAAAAGGGGTTCAGTGAATTTTAGGAGTAAATAAAAATTTAAGCATTTATTTCATTGAACAAACACCTGCAGCTTTACCCAATATTAACTGTCAAAGCAGCCCTACTAAAATCATTCTACAGACAAGGAAGCAAACTTCCTGGAAATGACACATCTAGTAAGTGGCAAGGCCAAGATCCAAACTTAGGCATTCTGGCTCCAGAGTCCACACTTCTAACCACTGTATTGTTGGGAGAACTGCCATGAGAACCATGTCATGTTAAGGAAATGTTACAGGTGCTCACGTATAGATCAGACTTGAACTATATCTCCAAATAATCAGTTTATCAAAACCTACCATGAATTTGCCATTCAGTAATTCATCCTAACTTTCTTGAGTGTGAGACAGGTTATTGCTGTCACCAGGCTGGAGTGCAATGGCATGATCATAGCTCACTACAGCCTCCAACTGTTGGGCTCAAGCAATCCTTCTGCATCAGCCTTCCAAGTAGCTAGGACTACAGGCACATGCCACTACCCCTGGCTAATATCTAAATTTTTTTCTGTAGAGATGGGGGTCTCACTTTGTTGCCCAGGCTGGTCTCTAACTCCTGGGCTCAAGTGATCCTCACGCCTTGGCCTCCCAAAGTGCTGGGATTACAGGCTGAGCCACCACACCCAGCCCTTTTATTTCAGTAAGTTTGTCTGGCATGAGTTTCTTAAGATGAGGTCTCCCATAGACTTTACCTATCCCATCAAAACTTCCTTGGCCAGGTGCAGTGGCTCATGCCGTAATCCCGGCACTTCAGGAGGCTGAGGAGGACGGGTCACCTGAGGTCAGGAGATCAAGACCAGCCTGGCCAGCATGGTAAAACCCAGTCTCCACTAAAAATATAAAAAGTAGCTGGATGTGGTAATTCACACCTGTAATCCCAGCTACTCAGGAGGCTGAGGCACAAGTATTGCTTGAACCCAGAAGGCAGAGGTTGCACCAAGCTGAGATCGTGGCATTGCAGTCCAGCCTGGGTGACAGATTCTGTCTCAAAAAGAAAAAAAAAGAAACTTTATTTTTTCCCCCATTAAGATAATGAAAACATACTCTAGTGTTATAAAAGGGTATAAGGAGGATTTCTTTCTTCCTCACCCCAACCTTTATATTACTTTTGGCACAGGCCTCATTCCTGAAGACATTAACATAATGTGTTGTTGAGATCAAATAGGCCAACAAAAAGCTAAGATTCCCTTTCTAAGTATATAACTGAGTGACAGGAACGGAGAATCAATGGACTTGCTTTTTCTATACTCTCTATAACTCCTTTTCCCTACTTAATTCCTAATGACTTAACCTTTTTCCTTTCTACACATTAGTACCTCTGCCAATGTACTTACGTATTTTTACAGATATTGATGAATTATAATTCAGAGAAGACATGCAATTTAAGCTCTACATCTAGGTTATAAAAAGTATTTTTTAGACATCAGCAACTAATCTGTATTGAAAGAAAGACCTGTTTACTATCATATTTCATAATAATAAGCTTATTCAGGCTACAGATAAAGTGAATTAGGTTGATTAAACTTCAGGTCGGACTACACCAAAATTGATTTGTGAAAATTATCCCTTAGGCCGGGCGCGGTGGCTCAAGCCTGTAATCCCAGCACTTTGGGAGGCTGAGGCGGGTGGATCACAAGGTCGAGAGATCGAGACCAACCTGGTCGACATGGTGAAACCCCGTCTCTACTAAAAATACAAAAAATTAGCTGGGCATGGTGGCACGTGCCTGTAATCCCAGCTACTCAGGAGGCTGAGGCAGGAGAATTGCCTGAACCCGGGAGGCGGAGGTTGCGGTGAGCTGAGATCGTGCCATTGCACTCCAGCCTGGGTAACAAGAGCGAAACTCCGTCTCAAAAAAAAAAAAAAAAGAAAATTATCCCTTAGTGACATTGAAAGTTGCAAAAGCCAGAAAATGGGGTAGGATTTTAGGGCTAAATCACAACTGTTTTTATTTTCAAGCTCTTGCTCTTTTGCCCAGGCTGGAGTACAGTGGTGCAATTATTTTTTTTTTAAACTGTAATTATATGCTGGGCTTGAGCTAAACAACCTGAACTAGAATGTAGAACTGAAAAGTGAGGAAAACTGAGGTGCAGGAAATTTTTTTTTTTTTTTTTTTTTTTTTTTTTTTTTTTTTTTGTGCCAGGGAGTGGGAGTCAGGGAAGGAGATTGGAACAATTGGAAATCGTTCCAGGTAGCTTTTACATCATCTAGACCTGCTGTGTATCTCATGTGTTTACAGCTCTGAGTACTGTATACCACTAGAAGGGGAATGAAGCCTTAGATCTGTAGAGGAGAACTATTACAGAAACTCCAAAAGTTATAGAAAATTGCACCCAGCATTAGATAGACGGTACTCTACACTAAGAATCTGCTAAATGAGGCTAGGTGTGGTGGCTCACGCCTGTAATCCCAGCATTTTGGGAGGCTGAGGCAGACGGATCACTTGAGGCCTGGAATTTGAGACTAGCCTGGACAACACAGTGAAAGCTCATCTTTATAAAAAATTTAAAAATTAGCTGGGCTTGGTGGCACGCACCTGTGGTCCCAGCTACTTGGGAATTGGGGTGCTGAGGAGGATCATTTGAGCTCAGGAAGTTGAGGCTGCAGTGAGGCTCGATTGTACTACTGCACTCCAGCATGGACAAAAGAGCCAGACTCTATCCCCTCGCCAAAATAAAAAGAATCTGCTAAATGAAAACTTCTACAGTTGAGATTGGGGTGAATCCAACTAATGTAGTATCACCCTAAGTAAATGTACAGTTGTACTAAAAGCCTTCTAGTAACTCAAGAGAATGCAAATAGAATACCTCAATGAAACTGGAAATTTCTCGTTTCATAGATACCTCTTGGGCAGTATTTTTTAATCACTACAGTTTTGCTTTGGAATCATAGGCTGACATTTTCCAATTATTACAGTTTGCCAATACAAAGACAGAAATGGAAGATTTGTCATAACCAAAGGACTAGTCACCATTCCTCAGACACTTTGAACACTTTTACCATTTTCTTATCCCATCTCTTGTGCCATTCTTTCTTGCTTTCATGTACTATGACTCTGACTCCAGTATACTGTTTGATGATAGGCCAATCTCATAGGGAAAATTTTCACCATCTCCATTTACTGAAGGATTTTTAAAAAGATACTGTGGATCAGGTTAAAAGCTTTCTTCTTTTCCTAGCTTACTAGGTGTGTTCTGTCATGAATGGATATTGAACTTTATCAAGTATTTCTTATCAGTGTTCATGACTTATCTGTTAATGTGGTGAGCTACAAATACAGCAGAGCTTCTGGTTTGGACCAGTCTTTTGCCACTCTCGTCACAACGACTGTGAACACTTGTTCAGGGATTTAATCGTCCAGAAATTAGCAATCGGTTTTCACTGCAACTATGTAATAGTGTATGGAAAACATACAGACGTAATTCTAAATATAAGGTAGACCTGGTTTTTAATTCACTTTAAAATGTTTCCATTGTAGGAATCACTATCTTCTCTGTTGGTGTGGCTTGGGCACCTCTGGATGACCTGAAAGATATGGCTTCTAAACCGAAGGAGTCTCATGCTTTCTTCACAAGAGAGTTCACAGGATTAGAACCAATTGTTTCTGATGTTATCAGAGGCATTTGTAGAGATTTCTTGGAATCCCAGCAATAATGGTAACATTTTGACAAATGAAAGAAAAAGTACAAGGGGATCCAATGTATAAATCATATTCTCATAATACTGAAATACTTTAGCATAGCAGAATCAGATACAAAAGTGTATTAAATATGGCAACAGCCGTTTAGGCAAATGAGCACTCCTTTAAAGCTACTGCCTTCTGGTTACAATTTACAGTGTACTTTATTTGTTCAAAACACTGCTGTGGCTTCATAATCATGGCCCTTAGAAACTCAGGAAAAGAGGAGATAATCTGGATTAAAACCTTAAGAGTTCCAATGCCTACTAAATGTACTGATATGCAAATTCTATAGCTCAATAAAATAATCTGATACTTAGACCAAAAGCAACCTTCCTTTTCTAACCATTCTGTATTGATTATGTAAGAAAAAAGGAAAGGAGAAAATGGAAAACAGCTCTTTAACATAGTTCATATATATGTATTTTGACCCAAGTGGATATTTTTTTAAAACCAATCAACGATAGCTTATTACTGAAGACTATAAACTCTGTATATAGAAGGGAGTCCTGTATTAAACTGCTTTTGAAGTGTTTACATAACAATTTATGACTAAAAATATCACACTGAATCAGAGCAGGATTGCCAGGTATTTTTCTATTTCTCTCCTTAATTTTATATGTATATAGATATATTTGGCTTATACTGTAAGTTACCTAAGTACTTAAAGGTTAAGTTGGTAAAGTACTTACTGCTTATAAACATTTAGCTTTAAAGACAAAGACATTTCAAATAACTGCAGGAAGAAATACTGTAGTTGGAATATTTAAGCAATAAAACTGCTAGTGAGTTATTGTAAGCTGGCTTACCTTTATTACTGCAAGTGTCTCTTCTGAGGATATGGTAAAAATTCATGTGGAAACACCAATCTGAATTTTAAAAAAAATCATGCAGTAATACCAAGAGTATTTTTTTTTATTTCATTCATTTACTGAGGCCAAAGTGGTTCATGCCTGTAATCCCAGCACTTTGGTAGGCTGAAGTGGGAGAACTGCTTGAGGCCAGGAGTTCAAGACCACCCTGGGCAACACAGCGAGACCACTCAACTCTACAAAAAAAAAAAAAAAAAAATTAGCTAGGTTTGGTGGTGCATGCCTGTAGTCCTACCTACTCAAAGGCTGACGTGGAAGGACTGCTTGAGCTGAGGTGGTCAAGGCTACAGAGAGCCATGATCATACCACTGCACTCCAGCTTGGGTGACAGAACAAGACCCTATCTCCAAAACAAACAAACAAACACACTCACTAAAAAGACACAAAAGTTTATTGAATACCTACTGTTCTAGGCATTATACACAGTCACTACCCGGTTAAACAGTGTAAGATACTTCTGAATACTTGCTTCACCAAAAATGTTCTGTATTTTTTACTTAAAAATGTTTGTGAAGTTAGTTCCTATGAAAGGAGAACATCAGGACGCCCATAATGTGACTTAGATGATTAGCTCACCAAGACCTCTCCCAAATGGCAGAGAAGTGCTTTATCATCCCATCTTGCCTGTCTGTCCTATCTCCTCCTCTCATCCACCTAAGCCCCCTGAGAAAGGTGTTAACTGGTTAGAATATACTCCAGTAAATCTTTTACAAGTCTTACAGTTTTATACCCTGCATAGAAGGAATAAAAGGACAACATGCAGGGAGAAACAGAACTGGAACTGACTATTACTACATAAAAATTTGAATTTGAAAATGGAGTTTGAGAAGACAACCTCCCCCTTTATAAAATGCTACAAATATTACTGAATCATGTAACAAGGATAATTTTAAACATAATAAAAACTGGGTTTAGCATAACATGATTTTTCCCAATGGAGTTTGAGAAGACAACCCCCCCTTTATAAAATGCTACAAATATGACTGAATCATGTAACAAGGATAATTTTAATTAAACATCATAAAAACTGAGCTTAGCATAACATGATTTTTCCCCAGTGAGTAGACCAAAAGCTCTCAGCCAGGAGTACAACCTCTTGGAAAGTTAAGCTTTAATGAAAACCTGGCTACCAGTCATCAGCCCCTTTAAGAAAGCGGTCTTTTTCTTTAATTTTATAATGGACAAAGTCACCTGACATAACCAGGGAATAGCAGCAAGAGAGCAGAAATCAGAACTTTAATTTACTATCAATAATTTTATGAGTAAACATAATCAAGATAATGGTTATCTATAGGAGACAGAGTAAAAAGGAAAGATGTATTACAATCCAACTTAAGCAGGCATGCTTAGATTTCAAATATGCAAGCCCATTTATAACTTAATTCATTAAATGCAATGTTAGTCTCCAATGGCTAAGTTAGCTAGTTTGAAATAATGAGAAAAGCAACATGAAATATGAGGCAGAATATGATTAACTATTCATATAAGGGAAAAAGTCAACATATTAAAATTTGTATAAAGTACTATTTAATGGTGAAATTAATCTATATAATTTCCCATGTCTCAAATGGAAGCACACATAATGAAAATAAGACATACTTTTTGCATACCTTTAGTCTCTTCCAAATGTTTAATACTGAAGAGAAAAATACAAAGGAGATAAGAACAAAATAAATATATATACTAATTTTTATCCATTTCAGTTTTAATACACTCCAAATAGGTCAATGTTTATGCATTGCAATAATCATCACATTTCAGATCAATAGTAATGCACTGGGTTGGAATAGCTGCTAGAAACAATACTAGCTTGGGAAAAGTTTATTCTTTATTTCAAAAAAGAAGAAACAGGAGAAAGAGGAGAAAAGTACCCCCACTAGTTCTTTAGTTCAATGTTCAGAAAAACAGAAAAAGATAATTAAAAAAAAAACTTGCTGGGCGCAGTGGTTCATACCTATAATCACGGCACTTTGGGAGGCCAAGGTAGGTGGATCACCTGAGGTCAGGAGTTAGAGACCAGCCTGACAAACATGGTGAAACCCTGTCTCTACTAAAAATACAAAATTAGCCGGGCATGGTGGTGCATGACTGTAATCCCAGCTACTTGGGAGGCTGAGGCAGAAGAATCACTTGAACCTGGAGGGTGGAGGTTGCAGTGAGCCAAGATAGCGCCAGTGCACTCCAGCCTGGGCAACAAGAGTGAAACTCTGCTGTCTCAAAAAAAAAAAAAAAAAAAAAGAAAAAGTTTGTTTTTCATCAATGACTAAAATTGCCACTGAGATTTTTACAATAGATGACAAAATGTCTCAATACACAAAGCAATTTTTCCCCGCAGCAGCAGCAGCAGCAAGTATACAAATTGAATTTTACACGTAAGTTTGCTAGTGTTCCCTAATTTCATCTGTAATTTCCTTCAAAGACAAAGGATATTACCTTATTGAAAATTTCAAAATATTAACGTTTAACTTTATAAAACAACTTTTAATAAGTTGGTGCAAAAGCCATTGTGTTTTTTGCCATTTCAGTGGCAAAAACCACAATTACAAATAGCAAAAAAATATAATTACTTTACACCAACCTAACAATATTCAATGTAGTTTATTCCTTTTTTTTTTTTTTTTTGGAAACAGGTATGGCAGCTAGGAACAACACTGCCATTAACTGAAATTCAGATTTAATGAAGTAACAGGATGTCTAAGCAAATTATTTAAAACTGAATCTGTGTATTTTGGGGGGTTATGCTGAATTCCATAATTTAATGGAAGATTTTTAAAAATCCTTAAGGTGAAATACTTGCACATTATTAATAGTGTTACTGATCTATTCTTATTAGAATATCAGTAAGTAGTAAAGTTTGAGAGAACAGCATAAAAATGAAGGACTAAGAAATCTCCATTTCCTAGTTTAATTATGGAGAGTAAAGTATTGCACTTTATTATTCAGCACAAAATGATGTCACCAACAGTAACATACAGGTACACAATTTAATATTTATTATATGCATTTTATATACATTATTTTTTCAACAGCTGTACGTTTACTATGTGGTACAATCTTAAAAATTTGCTGATTCATAGTTTGTAAAACAAAAACCTTACAAAACTCATCAAAACTCGCAAACTCATCAGAAAAGTTTCTCGGAAGACTAGAAAAAATACTTTATTGTCTTAATCATGCATTACACAAACAAAATCTTTAGTTACACCATAAAATTAAGCACATCTAAAAAAATAAAACAGGGATAACTAGTCAAAACACAGCAGATTTCTGTATCCTGATTCAACTATTTTTGTATCCTATTTGTAATGCAAGTAAAATTTTACTCCAAATATTTTTGAACAAGTTAGTTTTGCTTGGAATCATGGTAAACCAAGATAAGTATCTTAGGGGGAACCACCTTGGTTTGTAATTTAAACTATAAAATATTCTATTTTTAGTCTATTTTAGACTATTCAAAGAGTTCCAAAATAGATATACAGGTTCCTTTAGCACATTAATAAAAGGATATAAAGACCAACAAAAAGTGAAATAAATAATAGGCCATTAGCAAGATGGATAATCCTTGATAAATAAACTTGTAAATACAGTAAGATGTACAAAATATCACATAGTGATAGGATGCCAAGATTAGTTTTTTTTCTTTAAGAGTTCATTTGGAGTACTAAACCCCACTGTTTCATTTTAATACACGTAATAGTCCTTGGTTTATGAAGACATTTATGTAATGATAAATGTTATTTAGCATCTTTATGGAAGGACTTAGCTGAGCTGTATTAGGCAGAAGAAGGAAAGAAAGTGGTTACAGGGCAGCTGGTAAGTGAGATCTCTGTGTTTTAGGGTTATATAATGCAGAAAAACTTCAATACAATCTTGAGCACTGTTGTGACAGGCTAAATATATAAAAAGACTTATAAAAACTAGAATTTTATCCAAACATTTTGTGCAACTAATGCTAAAATATTTTAAGTTAAATTTTCTTTTTCTTTTTCTTTTTTTTAAAGCAAAATAAGTTTAAAGGGGAATCTGTGGCATTCAACTGATAAACAGAAGATCACTAAGAGATGAAAAAAACTACTCTTGGAGCTCACTTCCCCCAACAAGAGCACCACATTCCTAACCCTAAGGCAGCACACAGAGTCAAAAAAAAAAAAAAGAAAAAAAAAAACTTTTTTGGAAGATCAGACTCCACATTGGCTTAAAGACACCTAAAAACAGACATACGCTCAGTTCATATCCAGTACAGGCCACAAATACTGGAGTCCTTTTTTTGTCGCACAAAATACAGTAATTACAGTTAAATTAATGAGCTTGACATTAAGATGTTTTCCACCAATCTGTGCCTGTCCCAAACAGCCTTCTCCAGGCAGATCACATGTAGTGTCATATCAGTAACCCTTTTGATGGCAGTGATGCAGACCCTCTTTCTGTCCAAGCAAATCTTGTTATGATGCAAGTTTTT